TGCCGATCGACGAGGATCACCAGGGAATAAACAAGGATAGACGGGAATGAGAACGACCGGGTCCCGAGTTTAATCGGATGCGTGTACGCTCTTGATCGAAGGAGCGACGGAGGGGGGCGGGGGGAACAAATGAAACGGGAGAGGAAAAGAATATCGCGCGATGTTACGGCACCTCGTTGCTTTTTCAACGAATTGCCCCGCGTGGAATTGCCGCCTTTGAAAACTCGAAAGTCAGCATACACCGATCATGCTCTTTTTTAGCTGATTTCATCTTTGGTCAGAATGTTGTAGCTCGGTTGCATCTTTTTTCTTTATAATCGTCGTGATTTTTAGCTTTTGCTTCGCGCATCGAAGAAGATCCAGTGTCCTTTGAATTTGTTGCTTCAACGTTAATTCGTGGCGTGAATTGAATTTTGAAAGATTTCGTTGAATTGATCGAATCGAATTCGCTTTGCACGATCATGTGAATTAATTAGAATCGTGATCAATGTTGTAAATCTCGTTTTTAAAAATGTTCTTGAGTCGTTTCTGTTAAATTCGTGCCTTGAAATGTAATCCACGAATGCGAAAATGTTCAAAAAACAAATGAAATAAATAATAAAGCGACTATAAATTAACTTAACCCTAAATTATCCTCGACAATAAATTTAATGTAATTGGACACATAAAATTTATACTACGTATCAGCCTCGATCCATGGATATCCTATTGTCAGAGAATTCTATTTTCATTGTAAAAGGGTGAAACTATCGGTTGCGGATGGAACGCTCGTCGCTCGAAATGATCCCTATAAAACATCTTCACCCTAATTCAACCGAAGCGACGACGATTCCTGGGTCTCGAATTAAATCGAACGCGTTTCGACTCTGGATCAAATCGATGCGACATTGTACCGTCCCGGATCGACGCGTCTTCCGGTTTGCAGGATAAAGAAGAAAAAAAAGTGAGGAGGAGGAGAAGGCGGAGCGAACTGCGGAATGAAACAAGAGGAGTGTAAAAGAGGAATCGCGGAGCCCTCGTCGTATTTATCCGGCCGTGTACTTCCTACGTCTGTCCTGCAGCTTTCCATCCCCTCGAAATAAAACTTCGCCTCCTTCCGCGTCCCCTTCGCCGTCCAGCTGCCACCTACGCTCGCTACTTTCGTGCACCCTCTCCTCTCCTTGTTCGCGCTCTCTGAATCTTCGGGCACGATCCTCCTCCTTTTTCCAACAAATTCTCTCTATTTCTATCTCTATCTCTCTATTTTTCTCTGTTTCCCTCTCTCTATTTCTCGTTTTCTCTATTTCTCTATTTCTCTATTTTTCTATTTCTCTATTTCTCTATTTTTCTATTTTTCTATTTCTTTCTATTTCTCGTTTTCTCTATTTCCCTATTTCACTATTTCTCTATTTTTCTATTTCTCTATTTCTCTATTTTTCTATTTTTCTATTTCTTTCTATTTCTCGTTTTCTCTATTTCCCTATTTCACTATTTCTCTATTTTTCTATTTCTCTATTTCTCTATTTTTCTATTTTTCTATTTCTCTATTTCTCTCTATTTCTCTATTTTTCTATTTCTCTCTATTTCCCTCTCTCTATTTCTCGTTTTCTCTATTTCTCTATTTCTCTTTTTCTCTATTTCTCTATTTCTCTATTTCTCTCTATTTTTCTATTTCTCTATTTCTCTATTTCTCTATTTCTCTATTTCTCTTTATTTTTCTATTTCTCTATTTCTCTATTTCCCTCTCTCTATTTCTCAATTTCTCTATTTCTCTATTTCCCTATTTCTCCCTTTCTCTATTCCTCTCTCTCTCTCTCTCTCTCTCTCTTTCTCTTTTTCTGGGTGTCTATTTCTCTCCATCTCCTTTATCTTTCTACCTTTCCATCTCTCTGTATCTTTCTCTCTCTGTCTCTGCCTCTCTCTCTCTCTCTTTTTCTCTCTCTCTCTCTTTATTTCTCCTCGAGAACCGTCACGCCGCCGCGCCGAAGAGCCGGCCTCTTCTTTCCTATTTAACGCGTCTTCGTTTCCCCGGGCCGCTTGTTTATAGTTCCGAGATATTTTGTTTTATTCGCTACTTTATCGCCCGGGCGAATTGCTTGTCGAGGATTCGAGGGTTGCAACCCCTGGATGCCTCGCAGTTAATGGCTCGTTCACTGACACCGGCATGTTTTCAGAGCTGAGGAGACCCCCGGCACGACTGTCTACGCTAGAACAGCTTCCCGGGCGATCGAAACCCGTTCTCTTAGCACAAGGCTTGTTTAAATGCAAGAACTCCGTGATATTGTTGATTTTTAATCGGTTCGATTAAAAAAGATCGTTTCCGATTTTTAAGACTCCGGTTATTTTCGTGTTAAACCCCAACCAAACTCAATGTGAGATATAATTTTATTTCAGTAGTTCTGTTATTATATTATATTAATATTTTGTTAGTATTGTTATTATAGTACGTTATTATATTATTAGATTTATTGTTATATTATGGTTATTTTTTACTACTTCTATTATTATATTATATTAATATTTTATTAGTATTATTATTTCAGTGATTATATTATTAGTTCTACTATTATATTGAGGTTATTATCTTATTAGTTCTATTATTATACTATATTAATATTTTATTAGTATTATTATATTGTAGTATGTTATTATTTTATTGGTTTCACTATATTATATTATGGTTATTATTTTACGACTATTTCATTATAGTTCTATTATTATATTATATTGTTACTTTTTTTTAGCGGTTTTGTTTATTACACTATTATTTTATTAGATTTATTATTTTCGTACGGTTCTATGTAAACAATTTCGTGTTGCGTTTCCACGATGACTTTTCGGAGTACTACAGTCCCTCTTGAAACTTCGTTTTACAACGTTTTATGGCGTGACCCCGCGTACATTGTTATTCACTTTCCATTCATTTTATCTACACATCCATGACGTATAGGTTCGGATCTACCACAGCGGCGCGCACACTATTAGCTGCTGAAACAATAGTGGTTTTTGCTTGTCTACGCTGCCGGCTTTATTTTTTCGTTCCCTTTTGGTACCGCGCTCTTTCTCTCTTTGGCAACGCACATGACAGCTCCTTTTTCCCGTAGAAGGTTGCGGCTTTCGAGTGGTTTTCGAGGGTTTTCACCATGGAATATAGCCTCCATATTTCCCGGGCGCAGACATCTGACCGCGTTTGATAACACTTTTCCGCGTTTTCCTAAAACCTCTGACCTAATCTGTTCGCGAAATTTTGCCACTTCGTTTTCCTCTTTTTTCCGGATTTTTTTTCTCCTTTCTCGGTTCCGTGTCGCATCTCGTACGCGGACAGGTAGAAAACTAGAAATTTAGACCAACGTTGACTCGAAATTTCGCTTCGGAATTAAGCGAAACCGGCCGATTCGGGCCGCGGAATTTTTGCGCAGAATGAAAACTTGTCACGTGAAAATTGTGGGTCAATGCTTTGAGCGCCGCGTGTTGCCCGGCGTTCGCCGTTTTTTTTTATTTTCCATATCGGAACCCCGTCGTCGTCGTCGTCGTTGTTCCGTCGCAACGAACGCAATTTTACATTTTCATGCCGAGCGGCCGTCTAAACGAAAAACCGTCGACCGTGCGGTAATAATCGAACGATAAGAAATGATCGAAAGTATGCTATTCGAACTGGATACAGTAATGTCTCCCTAATTGACGCTCAGCTTGTACACAAAACCGGACAATTTGGGAAGAGGAGATACGATTATTCGAGCGTTGTGTCTCGTTTCAATAATTGTTAACGTTCGGTTACTGTAAGAACAAGCCGCAAGGCTCGAATAATCGTATCTCTTCTTCCGAAATTGTCCATTTTTGTGCACAATGTGAGCGTCAATTAGGGAGACTTTACCGTAACTTTTTTTCGAAGTTTCATCGATCGAATATTTTCCGTTGATTTACCATGGCACGCATTTAGGACAGAAATAACTGGATCGAATGGAAAATAGCGACGATATCTAAACAATTTCAAATATCGTTGCATCAAATTATTTGCATCAAATTATTTGTACCAAATTATTAGGTCGTTCGGAAAGTTGTTTCATTCTTTCGCGAGAAAATGAAAGATAACTTTTTTAATGTTACGAGTAAAAACAAACTTTTCGACATTTTTCTGGTAGCTTTAAAATCTTATTGTTTTACATTTGGAAAAATACTGAATCAAGTGTTTTTTTAACACCCTTACAAACTTAAATTTTTATGAAAAACGAAACAACTTTCCGAACGACCGAATATTTGCATCAAATTATTGCCTCGATAATTATTCAAATTATCGAGGAAAGAAGGAAACGTCTATGCAGTTGCTGCGTCTTCAAATTAACCCTTTGACGTATTTCAACGAGTCAGTGGAGATTTCTACTGATAAACTGTTAGATATAAATATCGTTCCGTTCGTTTCAGTCGGAATCAAATGCTAGTCTCTTGCAATCGATATTTAACACTAGATTTATACATTAAATTATTTTTTAATTTACGATTATTCATATCGTAAACGTACATTTACGAGTTATTTATTCAATTTACTACTTCCGACAAATGTTACAATAACACTCATTAAAAATCAGAATAAATATCCTATTGTTACCTTTATGAACGAATATAAAGCAGCTGTTTCTCGTGCCCCATAAATTCAGCGTTCGAGTAGACGTAATCCCGCAATAAAGATCAAGTTTCCTTCAAACAAACAGCTGCGATCGAAAAAGTTCAAATTATCGCAACACACAGAGTATGTACTTCGCACAAATATGCGCAGTCTAACGACAGCATAATGAGCTCACCGGCCGAGCAACGGAAGACACAAACACGTCCGTTCCGTCTGGAACAAACGGGTGCGATTCGAGCCAGATTCGATATCAGATCGCTCGAACGTTAGAAACAACAGGTAGACGACGATCGAACGCTGAAGGCCGAAGAACCGAGGCACGCGGTCCCGGCTTTTCGGCCAATTATTCAGATATTCCCCGCAGAAATTCCGTGCTGAGCCGTCGGTTTATTTTCAGTTACTACGCCTCGACTGCTTTTCCACCCCGTTTGGCCCCGCCGCTCAAGAGACCACGTTTGATGCCGCCGACTCGGTCGCAGCACCCGAAGCAACAGAAACAACAGCCAGCTGCGAACACAGCCAGCGTCCCGGACCTGAACCAGCTGAAAGTGTACAGTGAGTATGCCGGCGACCGTTACCCTGGTAGGCGCACTTCAGTATCGCGCGCGAGAAACGAACGAGATGAAAGGGGGCGATGCCAAGTTGACTGGAATCACGCGCCGATCACAAGGCGTCCTCCAACTTTGCCGAAGTCAAGTCGGAAGTCCAAGTTCGGGCATTTTTGCCACTTGAACCGCGATAACTGCGTCGACGATTCTTTCGTAGAATTATTCTAAGCGCTCTTCTTCAGCGCGACCGTGTTCGGTGAGCGCGGGTATTATTGCGGACGGCCCAAATACAGTAATGTCTCCCTTACTGACGCTCAGATTATGCACAAAAATGGACAATTTGGGAAGAGGAGATACGATTATTCGAGCCTTGCAATAAGTTGTCGACAATCGGTAACCATAAAAAACGAGCCACAAGGCTCGAACAATCGTATCTCCTTTTCCAAAATCGTCCATTTTTGTGGACAATCTGAGCGTCAATTAGAGAGACATTACTGTAATACCTACGCTTGCACCACGTTTTTTGTAACGCTATGGTCGTCTGAACGCGTTTGAACCCTTGGCGAACCTTGAACCTCGAACCTTGAACCTTGAACCCTGAACCTTGAACCTTGAACCTTGAATCTTAAATCTTGAATCTTGAATCTTGAGCCTTGAGCCTTGAATCTTAAACCTTGAACCACGGACCTTGAACATTGAACCTCGAACCTCGAATCTTGAACCTTGAGCCTTGAACTTTGAACCTTGAGCCTTGAATCTTAAATCTTGATCTTTGGACCTTGAATCTTGAACCTTGAACCTTGAATCTTGAACCTTGAACCTTCACTTGACATACCAACATTGTTTTTAGCCAGCATAAAAATCTGCTCTCGCTCTCTCTCCCTCGATATTTAACATTAAAACTTTCACAAAACAAATGCAACTTTCCTTCTCCAGTAATCGCAATCGAAAAAAAATCGCAGTCGTTGCATCTGTAACGGAAATATCGATGCACCGGTCTCGTGTCGAACATTTCTCAATTGTTTTCAAGAGCACGTGGTTCCTCGCAAAATATCATAAAACGTAAACGGGACAATCTAACTTCGCGCGGCTCCGTTCTAACGAGCTACGTTCGGATAATTCGCCGCGATCCAGAACGGAAATAAAGATTTCATTCTATCGCGGCGCATTTGCCCGCGAAAATACGAATATTCCGGCCGTAGTTTATTTGCAAACGAACCCGGTCCGATGTTTACAAAGCAGAAAATCTCTTCGGAAACGTTTCAATGGAAAGATGCCCGGGCCCGATCTTCCAGCAAACTATCTTCCGTAGCCGGAGCCGTGCGCGCGGGATCAAACGAAAATATCAAACGGCCAAATAAACAAACGAAGTCGCCCGGAATTTTTCTGTTCCAGGCAATCCGGACATACTGATCTGCGGCAACTGCAGGGAAATGTTTACGGACCTGGGCGAGCTGCTCGAACACAAACGGAATTACTGCAAGCTGCGGTTCACATGTAAATGTCACACTTTCAACGGAACAGCCCCAAGTAGGTACTCGCGAGAATATGTTTGGGTTTGTTTCGGGATCCCGGGGTCCGATTCAGGGTGATCCGGATTCAGTTCCGGTGACGTTTTTCGTAGAACTTTCGAACCACCGAAGATATCCGTATTACAAAGAATTCGAGACACAGCGAATTCTCTCCGATTTTCCTTCGGCTTGTAAAGAAAAATGGACAATTTGGGGAGAGGAGATACGATTGTTGGAGCTTTATACCTCGTTTTTATAATTATGGACGATCGGCGACTATAAAAATAAGCCGCGATGCTCGAATAATCGCCCGCGGCTCATTTTTATAGTTTCTTTCAATTTTTATTTTTACCATTTATTTTTATGGTTTCGTTCAACGATTATAGAAACGAGATGCAAGTCTCGACTTAATCGTATCTTCTCTTCCTAAATTATCTATTTTTGTTTACAAGCGGAAGGAAAATTGGAAGAATTTGCTGTATACTGCATTTTTGAGAAATAAGTATTCTGTGCTACGGTGTAGCTTCCGTTGACCCTTTCAATGCTTACATCATAAAAAGACATCGGATTTCATGCATTTGTTGCGAAAATTGATAAGAGAAAAATGTGAAGAAAATGTGAGAAAAGTGGTGGAAATGGAAGAATTTAGGAACAGCGTTGCATTATTTTCAGGTGATTAAAGCTATTAAAAGAAAAACTACATTTTTCTTTGGCTCTAGTTTCATACAAATTCTCTGCGAAATTTTATTTTGCATAATGATCCGCTGATCTGATCATGAGTGACATGTGACATGTGACATCTTTGCATGACTTGTGATACGATTATAAGTAGACCGCGGATTTTATGCATTTATGACAAAAATGAATGGATCAAGTACAAAATAACGCGAACATTTAAGGAATTTACAAGTACTATTGCTTTTTGATATTTAAAAATATAGATGCTTTTAAAATAATAGCTTCTCTATCTTGTAAATAATACAGACGATTTTTACTTTGCATAAAAATCCGCAGTCCAACTTTAAGTACCAATAATATGATCTTTATTGAATGGCATTCAAACGAATGTAATATAAAGTCACAAATAATTATTAAAAATTAGATAAAACTGTCTGTCATACTTTTTCATTCCAGTCAATATTGAAAGGGACCACGAGTTGTGCTGTTTTAAAGTAATTAAGTAAGATAGTTCCGATTATTTTTTAGGTATGATTTTGCACAGAATGATCCATAAAATATATCTCCCTTCGTGAAACTGCCTTCTCCCAAATGCAACGAAACTTGAACACAATGGTGCCAAAATGCAATGGGACTAGAATATGCAATAGAATAATAGTATATATATTAATATACTCTAATAATTAAGTAATATATTAATAAGTAATATATTATATGTATATAAATATAAAAATAGTACGTAAATGGTACAACTTCATCTCGAATGCAGATCTTTGAAAATTCGTAGCAGCTAAAATATTCGCACAATTTTGTTCGCGTCTGCTTTAAATTCTAGCTCAGTGGATCATCGAATAGTAACACGAACAGAGTGGACATCGATTTGCGAAACGGCTTCTCTGCAAAATGTCGCTTTTATGATCGCTCCTGTGATCCAGATCGCTTCGTTCCGAGATCGCGGGCGTCCGCCGCGCTCTTCTGAAATTTTTCAATAAAGAAATCCGGCTTTCGCCGCGATCGGCTCCGAGACATCGTCCCGCCGCGTTGTTTCCTCCCGCGGTTATCGGCGCCGAGCCGAATGGAGCAGGTGTAAAAATGGAATTCGAACCGATTCCTCGGCGCGCGTTACGATCGCCTTGCCTCGCCCCGGGCGGAATTGCATTTTGGCATTTTATCCGGAAACGCAGCTGCGTTGCTGCACCGGGACGCTTAGCGGTTTGTTTAGGACCGAGGAATCGAGTTTGGGGGGACCGTTACCGAAACGGCCGTCGAATTTGCCTGGAGGAGCCGCAGCAGCGTCGCTCTCGCCGGTTGTTTGCTGTTTCTGTGATTCGATTTACGGGCCGGAAAAATTTCGATCGACCGGGCTTCGTTGTAATTCGCCGAAATTGCACGAAGATCTTCGAGCACTATTTATTCCTCCGACTGTTCTGTTCTTTGGACTTTCATTCTCTCGAACTTTGAATCTTTCGTTCAATTTTCTTTCAATTCAATTCGATTTAATTAGTAGATCGCGGATCTCGATGCATTTATGGCATTTTCAGACTTCCGAACAGCAAGATATGCTGTAAATTAATGACGTCGAACAGCAGTTTTTATTTCCGTTCTTAATTCGAATTTCGGCAAAACGGCGACGAGAGGACGCGAACGTATGAAACGCGTGAAATAACAACGGTACGAAAATAATAGTTGAATCTGCACAGAGAAACGTAGAGATTTGATTTCCCATCAAATCAAGATCCCGGCGTCGACAAACAAATATTTCCGGTTCGAGGGAAAAATTGTTCTTGCATCGTAATACCTGGAAAGTAATCTTTAAAAGTGCATCTATCCGGGGGGGGGGGAATGAGTACAGTCGACTGATGACCTTTGCCCGCGATCAAATATGTAAGACCTCGGCTATTACAGAAATTTTTATTTAGCCAGGCCAGACGGTCGATGGTAATCCGGTTCTAAATATCATCGAAAATGATGGACAGTAAGTTGACCTATTATTTAGACATCTTTAGCGACTAGCCCGTTTCACGAAAGGTCAGGGTACAGTCCCAGAGGAAAGTCGTTCTGTGGAAATGATTGAATTATTTCGGAGCTATCGGTCGAACGCGAAGAAAACATTTGATATCATCTACGAACTTATTCCATTTGAGAAACGTTGTTAATGCATCACGCGTCGGATCGGTCTGCTCGAAATTCGTAAGAGAAGCAAAACTCGGGCAAAATCTGTGGTCGACTGTACTGAAAGTAAATTTAAAAAATCATTCTTTCGTACTGATTCGTTAATCTTGCTTGTTCCGATAGGGAGACAGATTTATAATATATATAAATAATATTTAATTGCCACTTGCATTTTACGTACTATAATTATACAGGCTATCCGAAAATTATGGTACTTCCGGGAAATGAGGGGTTCCTGAGATCATTTCAAGTAACTTTTTCCTTAGCGAAAATGCAATCCGCGGCTCCGTTTGCGAGTTATTAACGAAAAACATTGACCAATGAGAGGCGAGAGGCTGGCTGACGCGAGACGGCCGAGCCAATGAACGGAACTGGGCGTCGTCCGCTCGTTGGCTCGGCCGCACTGCGCCAGCCGCGCTCTCCTCTCATTGGTCAGCGTTTTTCGTTAATAACTCGTAAACGGAGCCGTGGATTGCATTTTTGCAAAGGAAAAAGTTGCTGCAAATGACCTCAGAAACCCCCATATAATTCTCAAATAATCTTGACATAATTTTGGGACATCCTGCATTACGTTTGAATTACAGCATACCAAAAATTGAATTCCGATCAAAATCATTAAACCGCTGCGAAATTTTGCAGGAATCAATAAATGCAAGATTTCGTATCGCTGACGTCCGAGTGCAAGATTATGTCAATGACTTTAACGAGCTGAAAATATTGCTGTCCATCGGTTATTTAAACATTGCCGTTGTTCCTAATTGCGTCTACTCGTTCTTCTCATAAATCAGAGCAGCGATAATCGAGAAAACATTCGCGACGCGTTTCAATCATCAGAAGCGACAAGACGGCGCGGAACGATGACGCGGGGAACGCGCGGTTTTCTATAATGATTATTACGTTTACGGACGGAGCGTTGTTCTAAACCGAGAATTTTATGTCCGAAGGGGATTCGACGACAGCTCTGCTCTGCGTCCTGTGCAAGGTATCCTTCCCCTCAGCATGGGAACTGATGGTTCACGCTCAGGCAGCTCACATGATCAACATTTACGAGCTGGGAACTCGACCTCAGAGTCCACGATCCGCGCCTAGCCCTCCGCACAGTCCAAACCAGCATCAGAAAGAATCATCACCGTCACCGCAAGACTTTCAGGTATCTCTTTTCTCCGCCGCCACGAGCACCCCGCAAATATTTATTATGCCGCCGCCGCTGTGCGCACCTCTTTTCCGCGACTCGAACGACTCGATGCAACAACGCGGCCGGATATGTAATTCGGCAATTATTTAACGAACGACGGGAGCATAATTTATGAGAATGTTCGCCGCGTTGATTCGATTTAACGAAACGGCGCGTTATTTGTCATCGAATTTCGTTCGCCGGAATTCTTGTTTCGATTAACGAGCGCGACCGCTCGCCGTGGTCAAAAATCCGAACAACGTTCGATATTACATATAATTAATTACATCCGCAACGGTCGACCAAAGCCAACTTCTGTGTATAACTTCTCGACAACGGTACGATTCTTTCCCTTTCCGCGATTCAATTCAAAACGCGTTTCAACGAACGCGAACAATTCCCGTTGTTGCCCGACACCGTTCTTTTTCTTTTTTTTTTTTACCCGGTGAAACGACGACGCTTTTTAGAGCCAATAAAAGGAAACGATAATCGTGTGTAATTACCCGACGCGAATTATGTTTCGCGACGAACAAACAGCGAGCAATATTTTATACACTTTCTCGTGACGAACTGTTGGCATTGTTGACGTTCCGCGGAATGCGACGCAAGCTGCATACTTTATGGCAAATCAGCGACGCACAATTGCTGCAACATTCGCTGCGCACAGAAGTCACGGCGTATAAAGTTCGTAATACAATTTTCTGCATAGAAATAACGACAGCGTCGAATTCATACTGAAATTTTGTTGCATCGAGATAACGACATCGAATTTATACTAACATTCCGCCGAATAGAAACACGTTGCGTAAAATTCGTGCTAAAAATTTGCTGCACAGACGTAATGGCATAAAATTCTGCGCTAAAAATGTTCAAGCATAGAGATACGTTGCCATGAAATTGATACAAAAATTTTCCGCATAGAAACGCATCGCATGAAATTGATACAAAAAGATTTACGCACGGAAACAATGCTATAAGATTCATACTAAAATGTTCTGCATGGAAACAATGCTATCAAATCCATACTAAAATGTGTGCTGCATAGAATTAATGCAATCAAATTCATAGTAAAATTTGCTGCTTGAAGATAAATGTTACAAAATCGATAAAAAGAATTCGCTGGTCACACAGATAATTACAGAAAATCGTAGCGCAATTCGTCTGTATAAAATAACGGCATAAAATTAACGCGATATTCTTGTCTTGATAAAAATATAATTTACATGAGATTAGCAGAAAATTTTGCTGCTGGAAAATCGACGGCGTAAAATTCGCCGGATCCGCGTAAAAATCGTTAGTCCCGCGACGTTTCTAAAGAGTAATGGAAAAGAAGTGCCTCGCATAAAATTGATACAAAAGATTTCCGCACGGAAACAATGCTATAAAATTCATACTAAAATGTTTTGCAAGGAAACAATGCTATCAAATCCATACTAAAATGTGTGCTGCATAGAATTAATGCAATCAAATTCGTAGTAAAATTTGCTGCTTGAAGATAAGTGTTACAAAATCGATAAAAAGAATTCGCCGGTCACACAGATAATTACAGAAAATCGTAGCGCAATTCGTCTGTATAAAATAACGGCATAAAATTAACGCGATATTCTCGTCTTGATAAAAAATATAAGCAGAAAGCAAAAATAGCAGAAAATCTTGCTGGTGGAAAATCGACGGCGTAAAATTCGCCGGATCCGCGTAAAAATCGTTAGCCCCGCGACGTTTCTAAAGAGTAATGAAAAGGAAGTGCCTGGCAACTGTTAACCCGCGTGCATTATACACCGTCCGGGAATTGGATTCCGCCGAAAGAAAAGTAATTCCGCTCTGACGGATTTTCTATTTCGTTAGTTTTGTTGGCCAAAAAGTAGCGAAGTAGCGAACGATGACTGAGCGATCTTATCAGAATGAGGCCGGCGCTGAAAGGGTTCGAAAATAAAATAAGACGGCGACGGCCATACCTCGCGCAGCTTTAATTCTTTAGATCTGACCCCGATAGAAGCGCGGCCCGGCCGTGCTCGCTCTTCGATTTGCGTAATAGAAAAATTCTTCTCTTAATCGGTCCCGCAGCGTTTCCAATACGGTCGATAGAAAACCCCCTGTTTTCGATTATCCTTCGGCGAAGGAGAGAACTCTATTTTGCTCAAAATTGCTTTCGCCGCGAATAAGACCGTCCACGAGTCCGCAAAATACTTCGTCCTCTATCCTTCATTCGACAGCGTTTTATTTTTGCTTACGAATTTTACGAACGAACGCCGCAATGAATTTCTCCGTGGATCGCGGCCGCGGATAGCTTCTTCGAGAACGCGACAAACGAAGATTTCGAAAGCGGAGCTTCGATAATAGCCGGAGAAAACTTTGTTAAAGCTCGAACAGACGACGTGAATTTTTTATTAAGCTCTTAAGGTTCTAGTTCATTGCACAATGACTTCGACAACGATTTTCTTTCAATTTTGCTGTTACTTGGAATAAAACAGCAGGAAAATGAAAATCTCCACAGTTCGTTGAAAAAGGTTTCCGATGCCCTAATTCACGGTCTAATTAGTTTCGAATATAGCCAAGTCAGTAGCGTGCGATAAAACAAATTTCTTGAATACGCTGCAAACGGGAATGGTTGATCTCGCGGAAGAAAAAATTTCGTTCGGAAACCGAAAAGTTTTCCGGTGAAAAATCCGTTTCCGCGCTGATTGGAAAGCCCGGCGTTTTCCGATTATCTTCGCGACGGAGAGGAGAAGAAAGTTCTATTTTGTTTAAAATTGCTTCTAGCCGGCGCGCGGGTCCCCGGCGCACAGCCAGCAACAAACGTCCGGTCGTTTCGAGTTTCGCGCGAGAAATTAATTGGAAGCGATTCGTCGCGAAACTTTTCTCGAAATGGATTTCATAGGGAACGATTGAACGGGGAAAACTGGCGTAACTCCCGGCCCAAGTTTATTTCCCGGGAAACGGACCGAGAGCTGAATTCTTTGTGTAACGCGTTTTAAAATATTCACGGATCGAGGAGATTGCTTCGACGTGTTGTAATGCCGCGGCGATGAAAAACTTTCCAGATAGAATTCCGAGTCCTCTCTCTCTCTTTTTTCTCCTCTCTTTCTCTCTCTTACTCTTTGCTCTCTCTCACACACACGCCCCCGGGAAACTCTTATTCTTAACGCAATAACCCGCGAATGACTTCTCGGTTTATTGCCGCAGTTGATCACGGCCGGCGCGGTGTTACAACCTGATGTGAGGAGAGCGGTGTATAAAAGACATTATCGCCGGGAATTTTATGCTTAGATACTGGGAGGATCGTCGGGGCTTATGGCTCCCATAAATAAAATCTGTATAACTCTTTTCATTTTCGGAATAATCGTTTCGAGCTTCCACTTGTAACGAACGCCGGCCCTGCTCGGAAACAAATCATCGTTCCCGGACGACGTTAATTTTTCACACAATCAGCGTTAACCGCCTCCTATTCTTTATTCCGTCGTGCACCCGCATCGACGTACCGGCGGCCGGTTCGCTGTCGCCCTCGTTTAAACGTTCTATCTGCTAATTTACCACCTGTCGGGATATTTTTTCGATATTTGGAGCACCGCGAGACGTTTAAGCGAAGCTAGAATATTCCACGTGCTTCGTACAGCTCCATTTATTCGCTTTCGCTTGTTCGAAGATAATGTTATTAATTCGAAGCTTCGTATTTTGGATGGTCGGAAATGTTAGGGCAATTCCACCGAGGAGGGCAGATTAGGGCAGGAAGACTAATTCAGTCGCGTTCTCGGAATTTATTGCGATCTCTGCATCGTTCGATTTTTCTGTCAATTTGTTACAGATTTCGATACTGATTTTTCTTCAGTCAATTTGAATGGGATATGCGTCATTCGTTGCAGTTGTTCGTTGTTCGAATACCGTTGCAATTGTGCGTGTTTTCGTAGGTACTATTAAAATTTACTATTAAAATTTCATCGTCGTTTACTGTAAATTCTCCCGAATTTTTCTTCAGCTTGTTAACAAAAATGGACAATTTGGCAGGAGATACAATTCAAATAATATAATAATACAAAATAATAATAATAACAATTATTCGAGTCCCGTGGCTCATTTTTATCGTTGCCGATTGTCAACAATGATAAAAACAAGGTACAGGACTTGAATAATTAAGAGCAATTTGGGAGAATTTAATATAATAATTTCTCTAATAGAACGAGAGACGATTTTTGTTTCTTTTACAAGTTAAAAAGTTTACCGTAAAATTTATCGTCATTTCAAGAATTTCAATATCGAAGAATTCGATATCGCAGTTTCACGAAAGGCGCGAAAATTCTTCAAAATTCTTCAAAATTCAAAATTCTTCAAAATTCAAAATTCTTCAATCAAGGAACCGCGATTCAAAGGCGAATCGAAAGATTGAAGCGCGGACTTTAGGATCAAATAAAATTCGAACGTGATCCCGCGATCGCATCGATACACCGTTTTCGACGTTAACACGTATAATAAATCGCTGTGCAAGAGCGTGGATCGTATTAAAAATGTCTCGGCGTCGATCGAACGAGGCTGAATAAATAAGAGAAACTCGAAGAGAAACGGCGGCGAGCGCGGTTTTAATGTTGCCCCCGCAGTCGGCGAGGAGGACCGAGAGAAATTATTATGAAATCGGAGGAGAACAATAATGACAACGGCACCGGTCAATTTAAACAATTTATGTTTCCCTCGGCGTAGCAGAGGTGAACTGGTAATATCGCGAAGCGGCTCGATATTTAAGACACGGTCTCCGAACTAGCAGAACGAAAACTCCGCAACGAAAGAATGAAATCCTGTCGTCGTCGTCGTCGTCGTCGTCGTAGAGAACGACGTTCAACTTGGGGAAAATATTACTTCATCATATGTTTCTCTGTCGATATGTCAACTCCAGGGCGGAAACAAGGTATACGGATCGAGCTATCGGGAAATGGTTGCTCCATTGTTTCGGCTTTCGAAATCCTCTTCATTACTGTGTTTCTATCGGCGGAGTTAGCGAACGCTGGGTCCCGTACGAATTACTATTAAATCAGAAGTTCCGCAGATTTATGCTGGACGCAATTTTTGTCAAAATTTTTAGCTCGGAAAGCTTCGTTTTTATTTCGACGCTTTAATATTATTCTGAACGTAACGACCGAATTTTTATTCGATCCCGAAAACTTCGATGTCAAGGTTTAATTAGGCTGCGAATTTTATGCGTTTTTGGCAGACTTAATTTTTTATCATTCATATTGTCGTGAGAAATTCGATGGATTATAACGAAGATTTTGTTTTATTTTGACTTTAATATTACTCTTAATGTAACAGCCGGATTTTTATTCGATCCCGGAAACTTCGATGTCTTCGGTTTAATTAAGCTGCGATGTTTATGCATTTATAACGGACTAATAAAATTCACATTGTCGCGAGAAGTATGATAGAACATAATGACGCTTTTATTTTATTTTGACGCTTTAATATTATTCTTAATGCAACAAGCGGATTTTTATTCGAATTCCAACAATTTCGATGTCTTCGTTTTAATTAGGCTGCGATGTTCATGCGTTTATACGAGTCGTAATTTTGATTCCTGAATGCAGCGGCCAGATTTTTATTTCATTGAATTTCCACGAGAATTGTCCAAAAGTTCGCACGGATCAGAAACCATTTTAATCGACCGACACAAATTATTCGTTTACGAAATCTCTCGAAATGATCGCTTTGCCAATAAACCGGCTAACACATTGTGCAAGAAATTCTTCAAAAAATAAAAAATGCTAAAACACGAAATTCGTTGCGCTTCATTCACCGTTCGATTGACCGAAAACTATTTGCTGGTTGGGGTGGAGGAGGAGGGAGAGGGGAAGTAAATTTAAGTTTCGCTTCTCCCAGCAAAAACTGTATTAAACACCGTCCATCTCGATGCTGTTCCCATCGCCTCGAGGGCCGGCTATTAAATAAATTAGCTTCCACGTTTTCTTTTTGTATCTTGATTGATTGCGCGGGTAAACATGTGCGGCGTAAAAATCGCAGCGGCAAGGGAACGCGAGTTAATGGAGGTGAGGCTCTTCCCCGGGCACAAACTCGATATTAAATATTTATTAAAGAGCTTGAAGGATTCTTTTAGAAACACGTTGTCGTGCCCTCGCTCGTTTTACATGCATTATCAAAATTTATGCATGCCGTTTTATTTTCCTTTCGTACACTGTTCTTACGTCTTGAATACGCATCGCGTAGATTCTGACAGTGTTTCGCCCGTTAATCTAGAAAAGTTCACAATTATGTCTAAAGAATCTTTTAAACGTCTATCCGATCTCGAATACATTAACGTTCATGAAACAGGATGATAGTTTTAGTTAAATTACTTTCAGGTATTCTCGTGGCTACGAAATAATACAAATGATGGAAATGATAGAAATGATAGAAATGATAGAAATGATAGAAATGATAGAAATGATAGAAATGATAGAGATGATACAGATGATAGAAATGATAGAAATGATACAAATGATACAAATTATACAAATGATACAAATAATACAGATAATACAAATGATACAAATAATACAGATAATACAAATAATACAAAATATCTTGAATATTATTTTGCATTTCGAGCATTTCCTTAAGTTTGAGAAAAATTAAAGAGATTCGCTTTTAACAAGTAATAATTAATTATATTAGTAATAATAGCTGCAATATAGCAACTATTATAATTGCAGCAATTAGCAGTACAGCAATAATAGTTGCAATTTGATCTGGGGATAAATAAGAATTAATTTGGACGAGTGCGTTTAATGTCGACAAACGTTTCGTAGACAGGGAAAACGGCAAAAGAGAAAGAAACAAGTAGAAAAGGTTTGCTTTGGTCAGCCGAGCGAGGGAAGATGAACCGAGCAATGTGCAGATGCGCACTTAAATGACACGCGTCCCCGGGTCAGTGTCATCGTCGGCTGTTCCATCGCTTAATCGCGAAAGGAAAATGAGCCAGGTCAAGCCGACACGTNTAAATTACTTTCAGGTATTCTCGTGGCTACGAAATAATACAAATGATGGAAATGATAGAAATGATAGAAATGATAGAAATGATAGAAATGATAGAAATGATAGAGATGATACAGATGATAGAAATGATAGAAATGATACAAATGATACAAATTATACAAATGATACAAATAATACAGATAATACAAATGATACAAATAATACAGATAATACAAATAATACAAAATATCTTGAATATTATTTTGCATTTCGAGCATTTCCTTAAGTTTGAGAAAAATTAAAGAGATTCGCTTTTAACAAGTAATAATTAATTATATTAGTAATAATAGCTGCAATATAGCAACTATTATAATTGCAGCAATTAGCAGTACAGCAATAATAGTTGCAATTTGATCTGGGGATAAATAAGAATTAATTTGGACGAGTGCGTTTAATGTCGACAAACGTTTCGTAGACAGGGAAAACGGCAAAAGAGAAAGAAACAAGTAGAAAAGGTTTGCTTTGGTCAGCCGAGCGAGGGAAGATGAACCGAGCAATGTGCAGATGCGCACTTAAATGACACGCGTCCCCGGGTCAGTGTCATCGTCGGCTGTTCCATCGCTTAATCGCGAAAGGAAAATGAGCCAGGTCAAGCCGACACGTCCAATTGACCGGTCGCATCGACGTCCGCCGATATTTTTAGGTTCCCTATTGTATCTAAGCCAATCCCATTGACGTATCGCGAATCGAATTACGCCGGAGATAGCTCAAACGGCCGGATATGATCAGGAAACAATTTCGAGAAGCCACAACTGATTTATTTGATCGACTCGCGATTTCCTGTTCCATCGTGAACCGACCGAATTGCGAACGTCGGTTCTCATATTTTTATCAAATTCTGGACAAACGAACGCGACCGACAATAAACGAGATTTTGAGCTCGCGATACTTAACCGGCGATTTTTCGATCGATCGTTGCTTTAACACGTGGAAGAAAATCGAGGAATTATTTATAGAAGCCACTTCGAAACAGAATATTCGATTACACGTTTTTAGATGCGTTATTTTATTAATTATCGATTCGCTATTTTCGTGGGCATTTATTTTACTGTGCAGCCTTGCTTAAAAATATGTAAAACATTATTGGCATAATTTCGGGAGGACTGTTCGATTATATGTTTCAGATGCATTACTTTATTCATTATTAGCTTGCTTTTCTTGTGGGCATTTATTTATCCTTGTTTAAAAATATGTAGAACATAATTGTCATAATTTCATAAAGACTATTCGATTATACGTTTCGGATGCATTACTTTATTAATTATTAATTTGCTATTTTCGCAGGCACTATTTATCCTTGTTTAAAAATATGTAAAACATAATTGGCATAATTTAAACAAGACTGTTCGATCACATGTTTCAAATGCATTACTTTATTAATTATTACTTTGCTTTTTTGGGGGGCATTTATTTATCCTTGTTTAAAAATGTGTAGAACATAATTGGCAAAATTTCGAGAGGACTGTTCGATCACACGTTTTATTACTTTATTAATTCTTAGTTTACAATTTGTACTGTCTATGCTTGTTCAAAAATATTTAATCAACACAAAAATATCCAAAAATATCTATAAATCTCAGCAAAATCGCGGCGGGACGTGTAGAAATTATTTTCGAGAAATTAACCTTGAAATTAATGAATTAATTAATTGATTAATCATCGTGTTCGATGCCTCGATTTGGCTAAGAACCGGCGTTCCACGTACGAACGAACGAACGAACGTGCGAAAAGTTAATCGAGTTTCTCGAATTTGTTTAATTAGGAAACCAAAGCGTCAGACTGCGAAGAACGCCCCGAATCGGAGGAGCCGGAAGTCGTCCCCGAATTACTACCGTCCCCCGACAGTGGTAAATCAACGGACAACGAGGCTGCTCTGTCGCCGATTAAAATACGACCTCTAGTGAACGGAGTGAAGCACGAAGAATGCGACGAGGCGAACCACGTCGAGAACACCACGCAAGCTTGCATCATGCATGCCCTCAGCATTGTAAGTGGCTCTTAATCGTGCATCTGTTCCTGTGCATCCCGTTCACCACCTCCTCTCCTCGCTCCTCGATTACGTTGTTTTCCGCAAAATATCAATTTCCGGGGCTGATTTCGACCGGAAACGCTGCGCGACCCTTTTTCACCGTTTTCGCCGGGTTTTTTTTTGGCAGCCATCATTTTTTAAATAGGCCCGCGGACTTTCGCGCAAAATTAGTATCGTCTGTGTTAGTCGCGATATTATATATAATATATGAATAATATATATAATATATATATAATATATATGTAATATATATAATATATATATATATATATATATATATATATATATATATAATATATAAATAAATGCGATAAAATCGTCTGTCCACGTTTAATCGTTCGACTAAGTTCTACGTTCAACGGAAGTTAAAAGTCTTCGAAGTTTCGTAACTTTGGTATGCTATTATACGATAGATAATTAATTTATATTTGACCCAGAAATTGCGTCTTTGTCAGAAATTGCGTAAATTATTGCGCATAATTGCAATTTACGAATCGTCGTCGTTGGAGGATATTTTTCGAACTTTTGGCATATTAAAATAAAATACAGATACGGTAAATTCTCTCGAATTTTCCTTCAGCTTGTAAACAAAAATAGACAATTAATTGTTGAGTAATCGTATCTCCTCTTCCGAAATTGTCCATTTTTGTTTGGAGGAGTTGAAGGAAAATTAGGGAGAATTTACTGTATATATCATCTTATAAATAATTTTTTGGCAATTTTAAAAGATATCAGCTATAAAAAAAAGATCAGCTATATAAAAGAGAGCCTTGCACCTCGTTTTTATAATTGCCGAGTAATCGTATCTCCTCTTCCGAAATTGTCCATTTTTGTTTAGAAGTTGACGGAAAATTAGGGAGAATTTACTGTATATATCATCTTATAAATAATTTTTGTAGGCAATTTTTGAAGATATCAAGCTATAAAAAAGATCGTGAATAATCTTAAAAACAATTTTAAAATATTAGAAAATATTTGAAGAATAATTGCCCGATTGCCAATTGTCAGAATTGCCGATTGTCAGAAAAATTGCCCGAGTGCCAAAGGGTTAATAATACCGGGAGCTGATAGCTGGAATAGATCCGCCGGCATTTTTGCCACGAATTTTACGTCAACTTGTTACGTCGCTATTTACGTCGACGACGACGACGACAACGACGACGATCGTATCTCCGCTGGAATCGAAGATAACCGACATTGAGATCGAGTAACAAATCGATTACCGAGATCCAGGGTTCGGGGATCGTTCGGATTTATTTCCCGGCGAAGCGTACCGAGGCCGGTTTTTGGCGGAGCCAGTATATCCGGACGTAATCCCGAGTGTCACGTACGCGGAATCGAATAGTGGACACCGTAATGAACTGCACCGCGAGACAGCCATTAAAACCGATCATTCGATGATCACTTCCGTCGCGGAGCAGTCGTAAAGCCGCGGACGTGCCGATTTTCGCGCGGCGAAACGCAAGCTTAGACGGAAGCTTCTCCTTCTGCCGCGATAAATCACTAGCGGGCCTCGAATGGCGCCTCCCCCCGCGTCGTGCCATTTCGGTTTTCGTATTCACCGAGGACAATCGTTGCCAAATGGCTCGGCGGAACCGTTGTATCCGCGTAATCTCCGCGCGTAAACGCGTTATGGCTCCCACGATCGTCGTAAGCGTGGCCGTTGTCTGTGCCGCGCGCGACCGACTTGCAAAAATTCATTCTAATCTCGCGGATTTTTGTCACCTTACCAGCACCGGCTGGTTAAAATCAGTTTCAACAGCGATGGTCATTGGAAATAGATTTGCAATTTGAGGGGTGGCGAAGCTGTGAACAATCGGCTGGCGGTCATTTTTAAGATACAATTTCGGAAGTATGCGTTTTTGTGGCATTTTCTACAATATATTTAATTAATATATAATATATTTAATTAAATATATTTTCTCAAATATGCAGCAATATTAATTTTGCAAATGTATTATTCACGTGTGAAAGTGATTTATATTTTTCGGGAAAATCGTCGGAGTTCGAAATCCATACCCTTTTATTTTCGGTACCGTGAACAGATACTGTAAAAAACATTTCAGCTCGGAAACTTTATTTTTAAAATATATCAGGGTTTTTATTTTTAAATAACAATGTTTGTTACTCTGCTGTATTGCCAAAAATGCTTCTGAGGCGTATGTCGATCCTTTCTCTTTCTGTAAAATCTGTTCCACCATAACTCGGAATAATTTCCAATGTTTCTTTTTTCAATTTCGACGTCTTTGAGGCAATTTTAGGTAATATTGCAATATTAAAAACGTTACAAATTCCACAAAGATAAAGTTTATCAGCTGAAAGTTGTTTTATAGTATAAGTTTGCAGTCCTGAAAAATAATGGTAGTAAAAATACTTTTCCTCATCTAAAAAAATATATTTAGAAAATTAATATCCACGTATTTGATTTTGTCGTAAGAAATGCTATAAAAACACATATTTACAAAATTGTATCTTAAAAATTCCCGGTAGCCGATGCTCAAGAAATTGACTAAAGATCTGAACGATTAAGGTTCGAATTATTATTGAGTCAAGAATCGACCAGAGAACAGAATCGTTTAAACGTCATTTTATCGCTCAGTTCAGAATTTTTAGAGCGATCAATTCAGCTTATTTGTGTCACGCGACCAATTAATTATGCTGCCAGGAGAGGAGCACAAGTACCGGGAATATCTTCACTTCTGCCTCGTTAAATCCATCCTTGCAGACCAACCCTTATTGCCTCAATCCCAGTGCCATTTTCTTCCAATTTAACACTAAGATTACCAAGCCTTACAAGTGACTGAAACGTTTTACCTTGTAATTACACTGTTAACGCTTTGACCGCCGCGTCGTCGATACGTTGCCGACAGAATTATTGGAAGTTCAATTCTCAAAAATCAATCTTAAATCCATTACAATTTCTTTATCTCATTAAAATTCGAATTGGAACTGCCATCGCCTCTGCGATGATCGATCGAATAAAATACAGCAAATTTTCAATAATTGACGCTCGGACTGTACACAAAAATGGACAATTTGGGCCTTGCGGCTCGCTTTTATAGTAACTATAAATAACTACTAATATAAATATATATATATAATTTTTTAATGATTAATTATTATATTATATTAATATATTATTATATATTATTATATAATAATATAATAATTAATCATTAAAAAATTATATATATATAATAATAATAATATTATATTATATATATATATATTTATATATTTATATTAGTAGTTATACATATAATTATATTTTTTAATTATTATTATATATATATATAATGTAATATTATATTTATATTATATATATAATATAATATATATATAAAAATATAAAATACAGATATATAAATATAAATAACTATAAAAACGAGACGCAAGGCAGAAATAATCGTACCTCCCCTGTCCAAATCGTCGATTTTTGTGCGCGATCCGAGCGCGAATTGGGGCGAATTTCCTGCGCATCGAGTTCGACGAAATTTTCGAGGTTCCCGGCGCGGCCGTCAAAGCGTCCCGAAAAGCCTCCTACGAGGTGGTGCCTTCCCCCAGGAACCGTTAAATAATGTTCGTATCCTGGCTCGCAGCTCCACGTTCACGTTTTCTCGGTTGCAGGACTCGTCCTTGGAACTCAACTCTGACACGAACTCGAGGGGAAGTTCTGGCCCAGTCATGGCGTTGACTAATGGATCCTTGTCCGCGAAGGAATAAGTCGAGAAAGAATTAGTCATTGGAACACGGTCTCCCCCTTCGCCCGTACAACCGAAAGGCCCTACCCCCCCCCCCCCCCCCCCCCCCCCCCCCCCCCCCCCCCCCCCCCCCCCAAAACAA